ACAAAATTGCTCATTCCCAAATTACCAAATACCCAAACTCTCAAATTTCCAAATTTCCAAACTCCCAAATTAGCGAATTCCCCAATTTCTAAATTCCCAAATTCTCAAACTTCCAAGTTCCCAAGTTCCCAAATTCCTAAATTTCCAAACTCCCAAACTCCTAAATTCCTAAATTCCCCAATTTCCCAATTTCATTTCCAACCCCTCAAATTTCCAAACTCTCAAATTTCCAACCTCCCAAATTCCCAAATTCCCAAATTCCCAAATTCCTAAATTTCCAAACTTCCAAATTCCCAAATTCCCAAATTCCCAAATTCCCAAATTCCCAAATTCCCAAATTCCCAAATTCCCAAATTCCCAAATTCCCAAATTCCCAAATTCCCAAATTCCCAAATTCCCAAATTCCCAAATTCCCAAATTCCCAAATTCCCAAATTCCCAAATTCCCAAATTCCCAAATTCCCAAATTCCCAAATTCCCAAATTCCCAAATTCCCAAATTCCCAAATTCCCAAATTCCCAAATTCCCAAATTCCCAAATTCCCAAATTCCCAAATTCCCAAATTCCCAAATTCCCAAATTCCCAAATTCCCAAATTCCCAAATTCCTAAATTTCCAAACTTCCAAACTCCCAAACTCCCAAACTCCCAAATTCCCAAATTCCCAAATTCCGAAATTCCCAAGTTTCCAAATTCCCAAATTCCCAAATTCCCAAGTTCCCAAATATTCCCAAATACCCAAATTCCCAAATACCCAAATTCCCAAATACCCAAATTCCCAAATACCCAAATTCCCAAATACCCAAATTCCCAAATACCCAAATTCCCAAATACCCAAATTCCCAAATACCCAAATTCCCAAATACCCAAATTCCCAAATACCCAAATTCCCAAATACCCAAATTCCCAAATACCCAAATTCCCAAATACCCAAATTCCCAAATACCCAAATTCCGAAATTTCCAAACTCCCAAATTCCGAAATTCCCAAGTTTCCAAATTCCTAACCTTCCAAATTCCCAAATTCCCAAATTCCCAAATTCCCAAATTCCTAACCTTCCAAATTCCCAAATTCCCAAATTCCCAAATTCCTAAATTTCCAAACTCCCAAACTCCCAACCTCTCAAACTGCCAAATTTCAAAATCCCCAAATTCCCAGACCCTCAATTCTCAAATTAAAAAGTAACGACCTTAAACTCTATCAAAATTTACTCTTCCAAACTCAACTCAATCTGTTCTATCAACTCAAAATATCTCACCTTCTACCCCATTGACGAGAATATAAGTACATCGTCATTAATTCCTTAAACTCATCCTGAGAACCTTGGTGGACCTCGCTCTTAGAATTAAATTCCCTGCTAATACAGAGGAACACCGCGTTTCACCAAAATTCCTTTAAATTTCCTTGCAATAAAATTCAATCGCCGAGCAATACAATTAACAACCATCTTACCCTTGTCCCCAACACCAAAGTACACTCCAGCGGTTGAATTTACGCAAAAGCCGGTGAATCACAATCGATCAGCACAAAGAACCTTATACTTGTTCGTACACCGAGGAATGGTTTCCGTCTCGAGATTCATTGTTCGAGTCAAGTGGCTCCAAGTGCGACGTTTACGAGCAAAGAGGTTGAATCAAGCTTTGATATAGCGAAATTTGAAATTCGGAGCGGAATAAATGTACACGGGTACCATTGGCAACGAGATCTCGTTCGATAGAAGAGGCTCACCGTCGAGAAATAATAGAGGGTCAGCTGTGCAGGGCGGATGTCATTACCAGTCGCGGCATAAAAAGCTGTCTCTACACCACCGAGCTGCAATTAGCACAGCGTCATACAACGCGATCCCTGTGTCAACGGTACAACATTGGATATATTTCACCTCGTTCCTGTCCATCGGCCACTCGAAAATTTTTATCGCAACTCCAACCATGACGTATCGCAACACACGAACAGCCTGATTTCCGACGAATACCACGAAATGGTCTGCGAACGACAGTTTACGCGGCATCGACTCTAAATGTACTTTGCATGCGATCCAATGTCTGATATAATGCGCTGCAGTCTCGATATATGGCACTCGAAAGGTGACCATTCGGTTCAATACAATTTGAAATCAGTATTTTATGATCTATGGTGGCATGCAGAGTAATGGTGGCAACAAAAAATAGTAACTTCAAAAGAATTCAACAACATTGTTAATTGAGTTTTAAGTTACCGTCTGACGACGGCAAAAATATTTCCGGGAACAAAATTTTTCAAAGTTATGGAATTGGAAACTTCAAATTTACTGACCAAGTTTTTGAACCGCAAAACTAAAAACTTTGAAAGTTTATAAATTTTATAAATTGCAAAATTTATAAATTTCGAGATAAACTGAATAATTTAAAATCTGTCACATATTTCAAAGAAAAACTCTGATCATTTCGATGTGAACGTTCAAGCTATTTGCTGCGATAAACTTTTAAATCATGTAAACAGTCATCCGACTTGATCCTTCGCGTACAATAAACGTCATTTGCGTGTATGGTAAATGTTAGAAAGCATTCTGCTGACTACAACCCTAAGCGAAATAAAAAAAAACGTGACCACAGGAATACGAAAGTCTTAATGAGCTCTCTCGCTAACGAGCAACGTGTTTGTTCAGTTGAACATACGTTCCTCGTTCTCGACGTGTGTACGTTAGACTCGTTGGAAACAGCTTTTCTGGGATTAAGGTAATTCACCGTTAACACGATCGTGACTCACAATGCATATGCGTTCGTTAATCGCGTCAGCTCAAATCAGCCGCCAATCCGCTTTCGCACCGAAACGATGAAATATTGTGTTACACGAAAGCTACGAGAGTTCATTCGGCTAATCAGCTTTATTTCGCCGCGTACTGTGTTTACGTTCTACTGTTCCTACGTATTTCGTCGATGTATCGGTTAATACATGGACTAATGAACCCTTTGGATATTCGTTGATTGAAAACGAAGCTACAAATTTTGCCAGCAAGTTTGGATAGTATTTTTGAATGCTTATTTCGATATATGGTACTGAACGTTTAAGGTGATTAAAACTGACACCGAATATGGTCAGAATTTGTATGCGATGACAAATAGCGAAGAATGTATATTTTAATATTAAAATTAAATTTGTTCGTTAATTAACTACCTTTTGATCTAATGACAAGTAGTAGTATAGTGATAGTACATGGATAGAACATTGATAATACAGTAATAGTGATATAACGATAGTATATTATCTAGACCAATTTGAACTTACTAGAACCGCTTACAATGAAAGACTACGATAAGAAATTACTACATAAACATAAGAAAGGTAACATTATCAGAAGAGAATGGTTTAGAACGCGAGCTTAATCCGTTTGTAGGTAACCGAACTTTCGTCAAACGAGTCTGATTTCATCTTGATGTAGCACCATCCGCCGGAGGTGGAAGACAATGGAGGAAGGAAGCGTCGGAAACAGAAGAGGCAGAAGACCGGGGAACAAGGAAGCTTCGGCTATCTTAGGTCCTTCCATGTTCTACCACGACTACATTAGACGGCTTATCCGCTCATTATGCGGCCCGACGGTCTCGCTTATACTACGGACCCTCGACCTTTCCGTTAAGCTCTCCGCTTTCGAATCAACGATCTCGCGTTCTTCCGTCCGGTACCCGACGATTAACACGTTCAACTTCCACTACACGTACTTTATGGACTTCATCAACTATGTTAATTATCAATGATTTGAAATTCAACAAATTTTTTGACCCCGGAAAGAATTCGAAATTCTGAAAACTCTGAGATTCAAAGTTCAAAACTTTCAAGGTCCCAATGTTCTAATATTCCCAAATTTGAAAATTCTAAAGATTGGACACAACCCTAAGAAAATTTAAAAATCTAGAAGTCTTCTGCTGAGAGTTTCCTAAGTTTAAAAGTTCAAACATTCCAGAACTCTAATGTCCAAAACTTTAAATCGAAAAAATTCTAATATTTCAAAATTTCTAAACCCCAAACACATCTATATGCTGGAAAGATTTTCAAATCATTCTCTTCACCAGATCCTCGAATTCAAATGTATAAATAAGAACACGACAATCACAGCAGTAAACGAGAAGTGAAGTAAACTGAATGTTTCGCCAGTCTTTGTGGCTCAGTTCCGAATCGGTTTTTATCAAAGCAATCCGTTTCGAATGGCACCAAACAGACTTCCGATTAAAAGTACGACGACTCAGCGAAATTTATCGCCATCGGCAATTCTGAATACATAGATCGATCGGGAGGCGGAAAAGTAAAAGAAAAGAGCCCACCGTTACTCGCTGAAAAGACTGCACTTAACGTGGCGGATATATATCGTTTCGTAAGATGGAGTGGAAGTGATATGTAGCCACGCTTACCGACCCAGCTAAACGTACTATTTATTCTTCGGTTGCCAACTTTCTTTAGAAGTCTCTTCCTAGATTGCAAAGATATGCATTCAATAAAATTCGAATTGTCTCCAATGCATTTTGAAATATATCACATGGAATGTTTGTTATTTTTATTCTACCTTCCAGAGCTAATTTTTTAATTGAAAAATGATTAAACTCTACAGATACAATGTTAATTAACATTAATACAACATTAGTGAAATTATCGGTTAATTTCACTTGCAATAAAAATTATGGACGTTATTTTTACACAAAGTAAAATATATTAATATTGTATACAAATATTAATACTTTTGTTTCAACAATATTTAAATAATAATGTATAATTAAAATTGTAGTATGACATTAACTCCTTTTATAAATCAATAAAGAAATATTCGAAACGCTACGAATATGAGAGAAGTGCCATCTTGCGACGACGGCAATAACTAAACTTTCAAATTGAATTTGATTCGCGCGTAGGAAATTGCAATTGGAACACACGAAATATGAAAATAAGCTTATTTGATATATTTAAATAATAAAAAACTGTTGCATACGTATAATCATGGTCAAATTTCATTGAATTTATGACGAAAAAGTACTTACCAACACCCCGTGTCGCAGGTGGTGCAGATTTGGCTTCATAACTCGACGACTCTCCGCTGTTTTTCACAAACTGCCAGTCTTCCCTCAGCTTCTTCAATTTCTCCTATTAAATACACACAATACACACCAAACTTTAAACAAAATTTAACAAGAAATTTTGAATAAAACTTTTTAAAGTCACGTTCCATATTGATCAATACTCTTAGACCACGAAATTTAAATATTAAAAAATTTGTATTGTAATTTGTATTGTTTTTTACATAAATAATCGTTGTGATGTGATAAACATATGGTTTCATTTAAATAAAAATAATTAACGATTATGTTTTTGTATGCTTACTTGTAATTCTACAGAGATAGGTTGCTTCGCAGACTCGCACTCCTTTTCCAAGTTGGTGTAATTTTCCAGAACATCTTTTACTTCCATTTCACGATCCTCAACTTTAGTCTGTTGTATAAAACATAATTAATTCTCTCTTCTTATTTATTATTTTAATATTTTCAAACTTACCGTAATATTGTTCATAATTTCGGCCCGTTCTTGCTGTGGTAAGTCACGGGATATATTAATTCTTGTTCGAGTTTCCATGACCCATGCCATAACAGTATCCAGCGTGCAAATATATTTTTTAAGGGATGTAAGTTTATTTTCCACGTATTCTCGATGGTTAGAAAGGCTTGTATTAGACTAGAAAATTAATATCAACAGTTTAATTAAACTCAAATTATTTTACAAATATATCATTCTTGATTTTCACTTAATAAATTAAAAATTTGATTACCTTATCCATGTCAACAAGTAATTTGTTGCATTCATCTTCTGTCGGTGGAATACCATTTTGATTTATCAAATTTTGCAATGCCCTTTTACGAGAAGAGAGTTCTTCCTGTCTTGCCTACAAATATTATAAATTTGTAAAAATTTATAAAAATTCATTTTATATACAAAAAATTTTAATTTAATGATAAACTAAGCAAAAAGTGAGAGTTCAATGCTATTTATGTCTTGGCACACTTTAGCCTAGGTAGTCATGACATGGAAGGTATTATTAGGTTCAGTTTCAATTTGATAACACTACCTCCAAGAAAGCAATGTTTAACTGAAAATTATAGTGAAAACGTTATATCAAAATTAATTTACTATAAATTACACAGTTAAATAAATTAGTGCTTGTATTATTCAAACATGAATAGTGATTATGAAATGTAACAGTAAAACTACTATTTAAATTATGGTGAAAATACTAACATTATTTAATGAGAAGGATAAAAGAAACAATAATTTATTTTATGTGTAATACTGCATTGAAACAGTGAATACAACATGTAACGAAACAAATCGAAAATACTTCAATTAAGTGTCTAAATATTAATATACAATAATGATCTTTGGTATATATAAACTTCATAATTTTATCAACTTACTTTAATTAATGACAGTCTTATTGACAACGAGGTCTCATCTGAGGGATTTGCTGCAGATACCAGTAAAGAATTTATTTGTTCCAAAATGTTATAAGCACTTTCTAAAATTCTGCTTTCATTGTTCACTTTTTTCTCCATAGCAAAGCTCCTTAAAAAACATAAAATTATTAAACACAGTAGCGCAAAATTTGAAAGTGTATTAATATAGACATGTTATTTATTTAAGAAAGTTTGTTTTAGTAAGTGAACTTATAACATATTTCTGTATTTATTGAATATCACAATTTAAACGTAATATAATTTGAATTACAAAGAATGCTTCTTTATTATATTGTAGGTTATTCTACGTTGATCACTACAGCAGCAAAGGCAAATCACAACTGAAATAGCTCTATAGGAGAAGGAGCTTAACTTTCAATGTTACGTGTCTATCAAAAACATTGAACTATCGCTCCCACAAGCGAATAATTTATTGAATAATATATGATCAATCTAAAGAATTACGTACCTCTCTTTCCGTGTATTTAAATCGGTTATAATATTTTGCCAGCGACGTTTTATGCTTTCTACGATTTCTTTCAAATCGACCATATCTTCTGGCTTAGCACGAGTGAAAATACTTGCACTTGAAATATTGATATTATTCATCGTTCTTTGCATCCTGGAGATCTCTTGTTCTAATTCAAATATTTTTGTTTTCGATACTTTCGAATGACCAAAGGAGTTTAATCTTTTCAGTGACTCTTCTGTTTTATCAAGCCAATCAGAAAATGTCCGACAGGTATTGCTAACATCTTTCCATTTCTCATGACATTTATTCCAACGATTATATCTTTCTACGTAACTCTGATTGACATTTATCCATTCATCTCGTAATTTATCACTCAAACGTCTAATTTGTTCGGCTTGTTCCCTTCTTAACTGCGATGCAACATTTTCGAAAACAGAATTAATCTCTTCGATACTCGGTTTGAGAATGTTCAACGCGTTACTGATTTTTTTGAGACACTCCTCTTGGCTGGAAAACATTTCATAATCATCGCCATTTAAAGGTACTGAATTGAGAGATCTTGTCACAGTCACGACAGCTTCTCTGATCTTATTAACTTTCGTGGTGAATTCTTGCATATCAACTCCTCCCATGTCCTAAGGACCGTACAAAATAAGAAGAATATAACACAAATAATTTATAACAAAAAGAAAATAGCAGTAATTTTATTACAATTACATACCACCTCAACTTTTTTATCGGTTACATGTTTATCCTTATCCTTACTACCGCTGAATCTTTTAAATTGTGAACTAACTTCCTGCCACCTGCTATTAATGCTGTAACGTATAGTTTCAGAATATCCAACATTTAATCGTTTCAATTCAACAGCCATATCGTTCAGTTTGTGAATTTGTTCTTGTTTAGCATCAAATTCCACGGTAAACGATTCTAACTGTCCTTCATAATTGTTCACTTGTTCAAGCTTCAGTGGTACGTCTCTAAACCAATCCTCAAATTCCGCAATTATGTTATTGTACTGTCGCAATATTTCTTCCGCTCGTTGTGCTTGTATACGTCTTGTTTCGATCTCAGACATAACTTGATGCCATTTACTCCTTAATTTATCTTGGTGTTCATTTTTTATCTTTTCAGCTCTAATAGGATCAGTTATGTGCACTGTCATGACTAGACCATCGCCTTTACTGATTAACGCTGCTGCATCTGGTGCAAGTGTACTAACTTCACTCTTTAGTACCTAAAATATAAACACATTATAACATTAATAAATAGTGTACATAAACATGTTAATAAATAAGCATAAAGTACTTCATTAATCTCCAAAAATCGGAATAAATATACAAACCTCCAAACGCTTAGAAGGATCTTTCTCATTACTAATGCTACCGATGCTCATTAACATAACATCCATTCTGTGTAACATCAGTTGAGCAGCTTGTTCAAATTCCAAAATATTTTTCTCTAAACCTGTCCTGGACAAACTCGTTGAACCCTTAAAACCTCTCTTATCACCAGAAACCTTTGCATCTACTTTACGTTGCTGCATTTCCTGCGCTAATTTTTCTGCCTGTAGCTATACATAACAAAATCATGAAATAATTTACAAAGCATTAAAGTAATTTATGTATGTGTTAACCTTCACCTATTATTATGTATCCATAAAACTTTGAAATTATAACTGTTACTGTTACAATGACTGATATAGATTATTAATTAGCACATTATTAATAGCACATTATGTGGATAATTGCAACTTAGCATGGCAAGATAAGTGCTATTAAAATTACCTTGCCCAAGAGGTGCTCAACATGTTCTCCTAAATTTGGATCTTCGCCTTCTGAACTGGAACTTCCAACATCAATTTCTGTGTCATCAGAAAAAATTAAAATATCGTCGGTTTCTTTGTCGCTTCCGTAAAAGCTTTCACAATCTTCTAATGTATCGTCTTTCGATATACTTCTGGCACGTCTGAACATCAAAGATTTTATGCTTCTCTCCGAATCGAAATTTTGATTCTCGTTATGCGATTTAGGGAAATCAGTACTTTTCACAGGCGTTATCTCCTTATCTTTACTATACATTTTTCTTCTTTTCGCATCACTTACTGATGGCGAAAGAGAAATATTAGTCTTTGTATTCAATTTTGAACGTGTTTCGTTATCATCTAATATAAGATATTCGGCAATGCTGTCTTTATCTTTCAATGCACAAGTTTTTTCAATTGTTTCGGTTTTATTTACTTTGCATAATTGTTGTGAATTCGTTGAGACGGTCTCGTGAGTTCGTGTAACTTTTTCTTCGACTTTCAATGATTTACTGATTGAAATTTTACGCTCTGTCTGCACATTCTCAACATCTAATTTAAGAGTTAATTTCTTAATATTTTTCGAAGCATACGGATCTATTGCTCTTTTCTTCTTTAAAATCGGTACAAGTTCTCTCTTTTTGGTAATCTGATTTCCACTACCACTTGTACCACAAATTTTTCCCCTAGTTTCTTTATCTTCCGTATCAGTATCCACTGATTCTGGTTCCGTTTCTGTATCCTCAACAATTTCTACTCTCTCGACAACTTGTGGCATTAATCCTACACTGACATTGGCACTTGGCAGTATTACGTGATCCTCGGGGGATGCGACTGACTTTACTATTTCCATTTCTTTCACTTCTACTATACGGAAGGGATTTGTTTGGGTGTGATACATATTGAATGGCTTTGAATCTGTGGTAACCAATGTGTTTGAAGAAACTTGAGAAAATAAAGTGCTATTTTTTGACAGAAAGAATTCTTCGTCCGCCACGTATGCATCTGAATCAGGAGACGAAGAAGGTGGATCATCGTCGATATGAACGATTTGTGGCTGAGAAGTTTGAACAACATCAGGTACAGAACTCATGTCTAATTTCCGTCTAACGGTTTTACTAACGTCTACGATTTTAGCTTTTACTTTTTCAGACTTTATGGAAGATTTCCGGCTTCGATGGACAATATTGATTGGCGAACTGTCTGGTGTGTTTGTAACATTACACTGACTTTCATCAAACGCAGGATTAAGATATCCTATGCCGTATATCTCCTCATTCTCGTCTATCAACTTATTCTCTTTCTTAACTAGTTGCACCGAAGTTTGTTCCGGCTGTTTAGACAATTTAGCGCGTCCATAATTGTCTCTCCCCTTTGTTTCACCCACCTTACTTTTTATTAATAAACTGTCTGTGATTTTGTGGATCCATTCCTGTGAAAATATGATAGGTAACAGAAAATTCATGGACAGGCAACGGTTAATTGAAAGAGCATTGTTAATAGTGTGACAATATCAAGCATGGCCAAAATGAAAGTGACGATGCATTTTCATTGTGCAAACAAAGCTTTTTCATTGCGTGTATCCATCACCAGTACAAAAAACTTGGAGCACATTTTGTTTATTCATTCCTCATTCGGTTTGTTTCTGCAAATCAGATTCACACCTCCGAAAATCTATACAAGGGGAGAGACAATATCATAAACGATTGATCTATAATATTTTTTTTCCATCCACCAAAGTTGATATCCGTGTTTTATTAATAGTGACAGTATTATTTACATAGCTAGAGACACCTCTTGGACAGAATAAAAACGTTTCATAAAATGCACTCACGTGTAGCGTTACATGATGTAATGTAACTAATACTTAATATAAATGTTTAATTTAAATAAGTGAAGTGTTAACTATATACATAATAATGAACAAACTTAAACAATTAAATACAATTCATACATAACTTTTAAGTCAAAAATTTGCAATATGTATATATATCTTATACATATAATATATAATACAAATCAAATGAAAATTATATATAAAATAATTAATTTAAGACATAATTAGTTTAGTATAATCATCCCTTGGTTTTTATGGCATTTGAAAATGTGAATATAAAAATATAGTATACGTAATTTTTAGTAGAATTGAAACATTAGTTCTTGAAGTCGAATAATTATATTATTTCAAAGTACAAAATATATTACAAACAATTCTTTTAATTAGATATACGTAATGGTACTATGAAGCACAAGCATTACATATACCAGATGTTAAGTTAAAGAACAAGCAATACAAGCCATGAAAAGGTAAGCAATGAATGATGTTTAAATTTATTACATAAATGTACGTACTTGTATTCTACTGGATACAACTTCCCACTTATTGCAGACAGCTGCAACCTTAGGGTAGTATGTGTAGCGTTGCAATTGGTTGACCTTTGGTTTTGCTTCAATCATTTCACTCTGAACAGCCTGAAACCAAACACAAAACATTTTGTATATTAAATACATCTTGACTAACACTTATAAATCACAAACAGGTATTTACCTTGCATTGCTCAAAATGATTCTCCGTTAGTTGATCAACTGGTACACCATCTAACTTATCGAGTTTTTCTTCCACTTGTAGAAGCCATGCATTTATTTCATCGACATTTGGTTCCTCCTGAAAGTACAAATATTTTGAGTACCATCACGATTTAGCAAATATTGTATATAGTTTTACCTCTGAAGAACTACAAAGTCTTAATCTTTTTTCTGTGCTTGCTAATCTAGTAACGACATCTGACAGTTTTTCTTTAAGTTGCTCTAGGTACATAGGATCGCAAAGTTTGGAAAATTCTTCTTGAGAGTTCAATAACTTGTCTTTTACAACGTTTAGCCTTGGTATTACTTCGGTTAAAGTTTCCTATTTAGAAAGTCATAACATTTATTGAATTATTTACTAATTATGTATTAGAGAACATCCTATTACATTTTTATCCATTTATATACTTACTCGTACATATATCGCATTAACTGGTAAATCAGGCATATTCTTTTGTGTATCTAATTCTTTATTAATACTATCTATAGACATATTAATATAGGACATGTTTTTGTACATATCGCGGGACAAATCCAAAGCGGATTCCAAAGATGATTTTGATTCGGTTATGTGCAATCCCAGCTATAATAAAGATATAATTATTTATACAGTGGCACATCATAATTAATACAGCTACATTAACACTATACATACCTTATTGTACAACTCCTTTAGCATGTCAATTCGTTTTGAAAATTTCTCTGGTTCAACGACACTTTTCTCTTCGACTAATTTTCTACCAGTTAATATAATATTTTCTATCTCACCCTTGATCTCGCTCAGTGTTTGGTAAAATCGCTATTGAGTTTAAAAAATTATGTATTTCTGTGTCAACTAATACCTTCATGAAATATAAAGTACACAAAGTAAATTACCAGACAATGCTTGAGTTGTCCTTCAATGGCTTCTGGATCTTCTGAAGACAATTCTAGCAAACATGTTGCTTCTTCTATTCCTCTAAGTTCCCTTAAAGCTCTAGACAACCTTGGTTCTAAATTCGTTGGACAACGGAAACGTTGGAATTTCTTTTGAACCTCAGAAAACTTTTGTTCGATTAGAGTTAGCTGCTCCTGCAACCTAAGTGCAGCTTCTTGTTTTCCAGAAGCTTTATAAGATTCAATTTGTAATGCCATTTCTTGAAGAGTAGAACGTTGATGTTCCATTTCTTCCATTAATTTCTGAATCAGAAATGTTTAATTAACATTATCATAATAATATATTTGCTCATTTCCTATTGAATCATAGAAATTGCAGTCACGAAAATTTTAAGTGTTATACACTTTAATTAATGTATTCACAAAAAGTACAAATAACAGTCTTTAATTATAAGAACATTCTGCACCATGCTATTTCATAACTCGTATTAATATAAAAGCAACGAATTTGCGCTTTGAATTTTATCATTTTATCACATAAATATTTAATAATAAAATATAAATATGGCTAACAGACCTGATAATCATGAGGCAAATCGTCAGCAGTAAGATCGCAGTCAAGACGTGCTGTTAGTACAGAATCTATTTGTGTTAAGGAGTGCTGAAGGGCAAGAATGCATCCTTCTAATTGTTGTGCTTGCTTCACTGATCCTTCCAGCAGCTTTGCTCGCTGCCCTGCCTACTCAAAATATAATTCTAATTTTCTATGTAACTTCATTATAGTAATGATTATTGCATACACTTTGATCTTTAAGTATTTCTTAAGTAGTAAAAATGATGATAGTTGAAAAGCTTAACAACAGACACTGCATGTAAAAAAAACTATTGAGTTAAGAATCTACGAAAGCTTTGAAAAAAAAGAAGTAATCTTCTTCAGTTCGACTCAAACAATGCGATAAATAGTTTCATAATTTGTCATAGAAGCAACAGTAGTCTTCTCTACACAAGTGTTCAAAATCTCTTTGATGATGGTGCATGCAGTTAAAAATAAACATATATTTTCGGTATGTTATACACAATATTTGAAGATGAAAATTAATACACGCATCAGTCAATATTAATATACACATAACATTCACGCACCTGATTATTTAAAGTTTCCCATCGACTTGTCAAGTTCTCTACATCTGCTTGAATAGATTGTGTCATAATATTGCTTTCGATCAATTGCTTTCCAATTTCTTGAATTTTTTCAAGCCTTAATTCTGGATGATTTCGTATATAGTTCTCTAAATCCTTTTTAGGAGTATACATAGTTATAAATACGTAGTGAAACTTTTTTAATGCTACAAAGTTTCTACTTACATCTAGTTCTTCTGATATTTCTTCAGCGTCTGCAGCACTTTCTGTCGATCTCTTCAATCTTTTATCCAGCTTATCTAACCAGTCACTTTCCTGTGCAACTAACGCACGAAATTCACCATACTCATGACTAGCATTTTGTAGATGTCTGTATCTTTCATAAATGCGATCGGTAACATCGGTCCATCGAGCATTTAAGAACGTAAAACGTCTACCAAGTTCTTGCACTGAGGATCCTTCTGAACTTAACAGTTTGTCGTTGCCCATTTCATTAAGATTTCTGAACTCTTCGACTCGTTTATCAATCTTTTCTTTTAACGACTGATATCGTCCACGAACTTGAAATAGTTCGACTGAAGATGTTATTTTTGTTTCAGTTGGTATTTCCTTTTCCAGAGATGATAACCATTTTGTGAAATCTTCTATTCCATTGATGATCTGAAATCACATAACATATTATAGTATATTAAAACGCAAAATACATACAAAATTTGTAGATATACTTTTCACGTACCTCATCATTTTTCTTTAATGCATCCTCATACTTATCATTTAAACTTTTAGCACCATCGACAATAGCATTCCATTTATGCGACACAACTTCCAATTTATTATTTAACACGTTTGCAAATTTCGGCTCAGAATTTTCAAGTAACTTATTCGTGCACGTTTGAAGTTGTTCTATCCTCGGTTTTGTTCGGTTTATATCTTCGCAGAACGATTGAACTTGCTTTAATTTAAGCTCCGTAGTTTCAACATCATTCGTTACATTATCTTTTGACAATTCTTCTAAATAGTGGTAAGATTTTTCCAACCAACTTTCAAGGTCAGAAAGTTCATCGTTAAATGTTTTCAAGGACTGTATATCTTTCAATAAATTCTGTTGACGTTCTTCCAATATTATGGGTATATCACTCCACTTGGTATTGAGATCTTGCAGCGTTTCTTTGAGTCTTTGTCCCTGAGAGTCTCCATTAGTTTTCATTATTAACTCATGACCAACGCTATTTACATAGTCAAAAACCTCCTGATGTTCTTTCAGTGAATCTTGTAAATCACTAAACTTTTTCAGCTGCTCTGCCATTGTCTTATCGTCCGACATAACTATATGTTCTGACAGTAATGTACTTTCTACATTATTGATAAATGAAGTAAGATTGGCAACTGCATCTGTATATTTCTTTGGCGGTGTTTTATCAACGGCATCATTTAATTCAGCCAACCTTTCAGACAACATTTTATACAATTTTTCCCAGCTAGAAACAAATGCTTGCACGTCTGTGTTTAGATTAACATTTTCATTGGTACCGGTTTGATATTCTGATAACTCTTTGGCTTTCTCTAACAACTTCTTTATTCGTTCCTCGTGAGACTTCATTGACTTCATCTTCACCCTGAACGGCTCAATCTGATTGTTTCCTTTGTTCAAATCGAACCATTTGGTGTAACTGTCCAACATCAAATTTAAACTGGCCAATTCTGTTTTGAATCTTTTTATTTCTTCCAGATGTTCTATACGACTCTTTATCTCTTCAAGTCGATTACTAGTTGCTGACCAACAATTTTGTATGTCCTTGATTTTTGATTCCTCCGCTTCGGTCGATTCATTTGCACCATTTAGTTCTTCGAGAAGTTGTTTCCCCAATTCTAAGACTCTATTGTACTCATCTTTGTGCGATTCTATGTCAGCTATTGTGTCATTATATACTACCTTCTTCTCTTCAACGCTTAATTCATCGAACACTCCCTCAGACCGTCCAATTTCTAAATCAACATAATCGATCCATTTATAGAGATTGTGCAAGGCAGACTCAAATTCGTGCCTGATTGTGCTATCCACTCGACGTTTCTTTGAATCACTATGCGGTGTCGATGTTGCGGTAATCTCTTCTTTGTAAGCAATACTAGTTACTGTTTCGGACATCCACTCATTTCCTGAGATCACAGTTGTTTCCCTTTCTGATTTCAAGTCAAACTCGAATCCTGAACTGGTAATTCTTTGAGTCTGTACTTCCATTATTTGTCCTATGGCTTCCCATTGATCCTGCAGATTTTCTAATTTTTCCAATATGGTAACACATTCTGGTGAGGTACTTTGCCCCTCCAATTCTTGAACAGATTCTTGCAAAGATGTTAGTTTTCTCTGATTCGCATCCATTTCCATCTTCAAAATTTGCAACCTCTTAATCCGTTCCAGTACCTCACCGATCTCAGATGCTGGATTTGCCTCCATTTGTTTTAACGTGATTTCAGTCTCGTTTAGCCAAGACACTAATCTTTTGTAATCGTCATTAATATTTTGCCAAAGAGAAGAGAGGGACTGTAAACGTTGTCTTCGTTCTTCTTTCCACTGACAAATATGCGTCCACCGTTCTCCAAGAGCAGATAACTGATCTTCCATTTGAGCATAAACCGCTTCGGAATTTTCTTCATCTACGACAACCACCATGTTTCTCATACCATCGACAATTCCTTGTTGTGCCTCAATATCTTGTTCTAGTTCATTTAATTGCTTCAATTGTTCGTCTAAAGCAGACTGAGTCAATTCAGTAGCCGCCATTAGTGAAATCCTATTTTCAGTACTGGTTAACCATTGTCGTAGTGCGTCCAACTGGCCTTGTTGCATTTGCATGAGAACCTATAATCATTGAGATATTGCCATTAACAATATTGATCTACTGACCTATTATCATTGATCTAAATTAATAAGCTTCTAATAACTGATTTACAGTTCAACCCAGCACATATGTAATCCCTGTGAAAAGAATTTATATAAAACTTTGTACAATTTTGTCTATCCCTATAGCTCCACCAAGATCACATGGTAAGACCCCACGGATAAGCAAATGTAAATAACATTTAGTTGCGATAAGCTGTACTTATTCGTTTCATCCGCAGAAAGTAGATAAGATTAATTATACCAACGTATTTACACCAATTAAACAAACCTCATGAATTTTAGTTTGTCTTTCCATAGCACGCATCCGAAGTCCTTCCCATCGAGAATTTAATAACGACATTTGAACCCGAACTTCGTGCTCTTCATCCTTGTGCAAACCCCCTTCTGCTAATAACCTCGCACCTTCCTCCAGCACAGCACCGACACCGTCCTGGTGCCCGGATAACTCCATCAGGAATGTTTCGTGTTCATGAAACTGTTGCTTTAATACTTCCAAACTAGATCCAGGTTCTGGAGCGTGATTTAATTTATCTTCTGCCTCGAGAAGCCAGGTCAAAACCTCTTCCAGGGCAACTTGATAACCACCAAGTTCCACGGACACGTTCGTTGCTAGACTCATAGGTCTCGAAGTCGGTGTTCCAAAATTTGTAAACGATAATGGATTCTATAAAACAATATTTTCCATATGAACCAATACATAACATGCGTTTAATATCCACCGTGACTTGCATAAAAGATACGAAATCAATTCGAATACCTCCGCTCCTGGCGTTGTAACCGGGCTACCATCGCTCGCTACTGAAAGATCTAACTCGCCTATGTCATCTCCGGAATGAGGTAACGATTGGAAGAGACACATAACGTACATCATTATTGACTTCTTGTCTGGCACCGATGTGTTCACATCTATCATAACGATTCATAAGTGGTGAATTTGTAAAATGAATATGAACATAACGTTATTCCTTTGCGGTCCAGGTACGTTACACATGCATACAGATAAGTTCTCATAGATTCTTCTCAGTTTTGATTTATAGTAGACAACCGTTATATGGTTATTACTGCTCAGTGAATTTGAGGATTTTCGAATTTTGAATCTTTACGGCGTTCGAATTTTTTAATTTTGGTACACTGGGACTATTCGATTTTGGAATTTTGGATCTTCAAAACTTAGGACTGAAATATTGGGACTAGGTTTAGGGTTTTTGATAGTTTGGAACTTTAGAACTTTGGAGCTGTAGGACCTTAATAATTTTGAACTTCATAACTTACGATTTTGGAATTTTTAAACTTTGAAAGTGCAAATTATTCCAATGTTCATTAACTGGAAACTTGGAACTTTAGAACACAGAACTTTGAAACTATGGGACTATAAAACTTTGGAGCCAGGAAACTATGAAATTGTCTACTATTCAAAGGTGGGTCTACCCACGTTTTGAAATCCTTCCAATAACAAATTGGATCTGATACCGAAAATAAATAGACCGCAAAGAATTAACAGATCCTTGTACTATTTACCTTCTGGATCCAACAGTCGTTCGATACCCAACTGTTCCTGAGCGATGCGAAACGCATGATCTAGCCTAGCATTCGGATGTTTGCGCGCAATGTTATTAAAATCAAATAAATGTGGTTTCCATTTATGAAGAATCGCGTTAAACGCTAAACCATCCGACCAGGATGTGGTGAAATTTTTAATATCAACTCCAGGGTAATTCTGGAAGAAAGAAGAAGGAGTTTCATCGCGCAAAAACAAATATGTACCAGAATGTCACGTTTTATCGCAAAGTTACCTGCGAATTCTGACGACACCATGCTAAAAGTGTTTTTTCCAAATTTGTCTGCTGTAATTCTGTCATTAAATCCTTCAGATGATAATGAACCTAAATGAAAACGTACAATGTAACGAGTTACAGTTTCACAGAAAAAGGGGAAAAAATTAATCTTCAGAGAACTAAACCCTCCATAAAACTGACCTGCCAGTGTAGAATGATACTCCATACTAATCCGAGTGTTAGCTTAGGATTACCGTCAACAATATCGTTACTGCTAATATTTACGAGTTTCACCTGAAACGATACGAGCGAACATTATTCCACACATCTTCATGCTTTCTTCGCCAAGATTTATTGCAAATAACAACTCACATTATTCTGTTCGAGAATTTGCAAGGCTTTGTTAACATTATTCAGGTGGTGAACTCTCATTCGACCGCGTTCTCTTTTCTAGAAAAACGAACCAGATCAGTTTAGCCTCAAGTTGCAACATTTTATTGATACACTGAATCAATTTCTTTTTTTCGAATTTATAAACAGGTTCTTCTTGTCTGGTGCAATTTTATCGTGTGATGCAGAATCATTATCGCCTAATTATACCGATATACTGGTGCAAAAATAACAGGCACAGATAAAGAATATATGTAAAAAAATTGCGAAAAATTAAAAAAAAATTGTAAATTGTTTTTCTGTAAATCTAGTATAAATTATAAATGTAGAAGGTTGTTAATAATAAATTATTGTAAATATAAATGGTCTAACCGAATAAAAAGAAATAGTCTTTGTATATACTATTATATACAGTTTCTTTTTACACTGTGCATGTAGAAATGTATAACGACAATTCAAAAACAATTTAAACTTATACTGAATATTTTTTTATTGGGAATTTCCGACTATACATTCTAGTACATTTACACTACTTACAAAAATGTTCTAGGAAATAAAATTTGAAGTAACAATCACGGTAATTAATTTTTGGCAAGGTGGAAACGAGAAGATTACAGAAAAAGATGTTCGAAGCAAATAAAGACACATATGCAGAAAACATGTTTTTCCCGTGGAATGCTCTTACGCCTACCGTGCACAGATAATCGACAATCTTATGCAAATATTCGTAGTACTCGATACGCACACCTGCTTGGAATTCTATTAGCAGAGCCTCATAATGTAAACACGAAACGCACTACTCCAAAGAGTGCTTAAAAAAAGAACGACTGTCAGCGAAATGCTTAAAGGATTACATCAGATGTAAAAGAAAAAGATTGTGTCTGTCAATAAGTTATCGTACCCAATCACTCTGATTATGTAATGGTGCAACTTTGCTAAAGAACATTATACTTACGTAAACTTTCGATGTGAGTACCTCCAGAAGGGATAAGAGTCGATTGCCATCTCTGAGGTCGACAAATAAATCGGTAATCGGTTCGTGATGATTCTGTATGGGAATGGTAATTAACTCATTAAGGAACAAAGTTTTATTCGCTAATTCGTGTCTGAAATTTATCGAACCACAATTGCAATTTGTAAGATAGATACGTATTGTTTTTAGAGATGTTCATTATATAGATTTGCAGTTGAGAATTATGGGAGTAGGTAAACAAATTCTTCTTTTAGTGATAATATAATTCGAAGGACTAGAGTCAACGTTAACTCCGCACACTCACTTTTTGTGTTAATAGCACATTTACAATCACAAAAGCCGTACGTTTCGATCACAAAAATATTATTATGGAGAAATGAATATTTTAGAAGTTTTTTAAGATTTTGTGCAATTTACTGCAAGTCAAAACGGTAACTAGATATAAAGACGCTACTGTAAAAAATTTTTTATGTTAACGTTGATTCTAAACGCTCGAATTTATAGTATTTTGCAAATAGTATAAATATTGTCTTTGATGTTGTGTAAGTAGTTAGATCATCTTAAAAGTCACTGCACTTTGCTACACCGGTTCGTTTTTGTAACATCCGAATGAGCAATGAAATCTTGATTAAGAAGAATGCAGATAAGACTGTTGAATAAGTATAATAAAAGTGTAATTTTAGGTATCTACTGAAAGTAATAATGAAGTGTACCTACATTTCAGATAGCTAGTAAAAGTAAGAAATGGTTATTATATCACAGAAAGAACCACATAGTAATAAAATATTTACCTCGAACACTAGTTATTTAAAATAAAATAAAAAACAGTTTGAGATAAAAAATTTTTTAACTTACTCCCACTTTAGAAGTAATACGGAGAAAATTTTATGCAAAATTAAAATAAATTATTGTTAAGTAATTTTTCAGTTATTAATTAAAATTATCAGTTATATTTTAGATAATAGTTTGTTGCATGATGATGAATGATGTTAATGCACTTACCTTGAGTAGCTGCGAATTTATCCATTTTGCAAACGTTTTTTTCTGTACATCTTCTCGTTCATCTGCAACATACAGATGAAATTATATCAACTAATAAACAATTTCGTGTAGAAGGTTAAAGAGACATGAATAACAAAAATTATTTGAATTATAAATATTATAAGGGATGCAATGATAATTTAGGAATAAAAACAATTCTTCAAACATTTTTAATATTTCATATCCCTCAATTAAGTTGTACTATATATTAAATTGCTGATATTAAATCACATAAAAATTTATTATTTCAACGGGCAAATAAATACAAATAACCGTGCTTGGAAATGTAAATAGCGCAGTTGAAAAATGAAAATGAAAAAGTAAATATAATTAATTTTCGGACATTCTCAATATTTCGTATCACTTAATAAAATTTTGCTACATATTAAACTGCTGATATTAAATCACATAAAAATTTGTAATTTTAACGATCAAATACGAATATCCGTGCGTATTTAAATTAAAAATAACACTTTTATACAAATGATAATTTAAAAGCAAAATAATTAATCTTCGTTCCCAACGTTTCATTATTCAGTAAAATCACACTGCGCATTATACAAAATTATCAAATCACCTAGAGACTTATATTGCACGGGTTAAAAAAGTCCGAGCAATGGCGATTACTCGAGCCATAAATGTTACAAATAATAATTTAAAAATAAAGATAATCTGTTTTCAGACGTTCTCAACCATTCGATAAAATTACAGTGCACATGATACACAAAAAGTATCAATTATGGGGTTAAAAAAGTCGAATAACCGCGATTGCTTGAACCACAGATATAACTGAACCAATGACAACTTGAAAATAAAATCAATCAATTCTCAGACATTCCCCGCGTATCGTATCGTTCAATAAAATTACGTTGCACATTCTATAACGCGGTAACAATATTGCATCACTGAAACGAGTTTATCCGAAAACAAGAAAAGAGAAATGCGGTAATGATTTGAAAATAAGAGAAAGGGTATGTTATGTTTTCGGTAACAGGAGCAGTTTCATTGTCATTTCGACACCAACGCGAAATTATTGTCGACGTGGCAACGACGGCTCGTCATCTATCGCGTTGACACCCATTGACCCCGGTAGATGCAGCAGTAAACTCTTGAAATTTAGGTCGACCAACAGAAAGTCATAAAGCACAGTGTGCTTAAATACCTGGTGGTACTTTAAAGCCAGGAAACTAACGATTTTCAAAAGAACATTCGCCTCTTAGCGATCTCACGATGCGGCGGGCAACGTTTACTGACCCTAAGTGAGCAATCGTCTATTTAAAACCTGAACACTCATAACAAATATTTTGTATCGTTGCTCTTTCCTTTTCCTTTGCATTACTCGCTGATTCATTTATACTGCCCTCATTTACGACCATATAACGAGAGTCCTCTATCACGAACTACCAGATATGCAGAACGAAGCACGGAAAGAGAATGCATACATAAATCTGTCGAGTTTGAACCTTCCTTATAAGATTAAATGAAATTCGATTAATAAAAATGTTATTGTTATGTTACACGATTACATATAATTTATTTAATAAAAGGAGGTCTGTTATGTGATTAAACGATATTCACTTAATAGAAAATGATACTGCTATGTCACATGATTAAATAAAAATGATATTACTATGTCACGTGTTCATAAAAATGAAACACAGTATAAATTAACATTTTTTTTAGAATCGAAAGCGTTTCATTAGATTGACAAATTTGGACTTTGTACTTCTGGACATGAATTTTACTTTCACACTTTCATTGTATAATTTGTACTTAAAAATTAATTCCATTACGTTATGACACCTCAAAAAAGATAATAATAATTGTTACAAATGATATGATAACCCTAAATACCTTTCGTACAAAGTTCAACTATGTTTTATGTAACGAAACCAAGTGTCCGGATACTTATGGACGGTAGAGTATAACTTGAGAGCTGAGAATAACTAGGAGAAAAATTAAGAGGGATAAAAATATATCGAATATCGACTATTGAATTTATGTTCTTGCTAAACTACCACCATTCATCACGCTCCTCGATTCTATCCACTCATCCACTGAATGCTCTAAACTCTAATCGACTTCATTACCTTCATCAACATCGTCAAAGCATTAATCACGAGCCATCAGAACTACGTGATCCAAGAACCTCTTCATTCTTCGTTCTAAATTTCAGCGAGAGCTTTAAACCTTCGCAATCCAACAGCTTAGTATGATCATCGAACTTTTTATGTTAAATTACATACTTTGTATTACGATGCGTTTCCTGGATTTATTTGGTAACGGTACTAGGTTTTACAATCTTGGAAATGTTTCGTTTATTTCAGATAAATCATGCTTTTCTTACTTGGTGCTATAATTGAGTTTCTACAAATAGAAAGCTTTTATGTAGAATCATTTTTATTGCTGTTCATTTTGTTCGTAACGAACTGAGTCTCCAAATTCCTAAAACGAAACCCCCAAATTCGGAAAAATTCTAATTCTTGAATTCCTTATTTACGGAATTTCAGAACTGTTAGATATTTAAATTTGCTAATTATCGAATTTCCAAATTTTTATATTCTGTAATTTGTAAACCTGGAGTACTGAAATGCTACAAATTTATAAATCTCCAAATTCTCAAATTTCGGAATTTCTAATTTATCGAGTCCCCAAATCTCCAAATTCCATTTTTATCGAATCTCTAAATCCCTAAATTCTCAAATTCCCAAATTCTTAAATTACCGAGTTCCCAAATCCCCCATTCCTGAATTTCTTACTTACTATATTTCTAAATCCCCAAATGTTAAAATTCCCAATTTACCAAATTTTATAATCTCCAACTTCTCAAATTTCCAAATTTCTGGATTCTCCAATTTCTCAAGTTCTCCAAATTTCCAAATCCTCAAAATCTGAAATTTTCAAATTCCTAATTTACTGAATCTCCAACACCCTATATTCTCTTTCTGCATTCCTAATTCATCATATCAAATTCTCAATTATTCAAATATTCAAATTTCATGCAATTCTCGAATTTCCAAACCTAAATCCTCAAATTCTTCAATTCTGAAATCCCCACTCTCCAAATATCCACATCTTCAAACTCCCAAATTCCCAAATCTCCGTAGTCCTAAATTCCCTATCTCATACCATCCATTACAATGACACGAATCCCCAGAAGAAATCAATGTACCAACACGACCGCGTACCCAAATGGTTAACTTTCTGGAGCAAAGTAATGGACACTCGGGTGGAGAAGTGATGCGAGGCGGTCAACGAGCAAAGAAACCTGGTGATCGTGGTAGCGTAAAAAAAACTCGATGCACCATATTCGGAAGCGGCACGGTTTCGTAAGGAAAGCTCCACGTTGGTCGATGCCCGTCCAGGAAAGACTCACGCTCTTGCACGCCTATCTTACGGCATACTTTACTTTAGCTACGTGATCGTCATTCGCGATTTCTGACTCCCTTGCCCCCCTTCCGGCTGCTATCTTGTACCCCTTCGAACGTAAGATAACGCACGGACGTTCATTCATTCGTTTGCTGGTCACTGACTCGTCTGCAATGTCGATCGTCTTTCTATCGAATCGATTCTCCCTGATCCGAATTCCTTTTCCTTCATTATTAATATCGTAGTCGTTATTCATTTTTCAGGCTTTCTGTTCTACAGGCCGTTTACACCGTCAAATCGATTACATTTTACTCCCTCAATTTTATTTTGTGTATGCAGGGTGGGTCGACAAACATTCTTCTTCGCTCGCACTCTCTAAATGGTGCAAAAAATCCTGTCAATGTTTGATAAGTAAAATTTAAGAGGTTGCTCAGTGCAATTTAACACGTTGACTGCCACACAGAAGTAGTTGAAATTTTAAATCTTATTATTTAAAAAAATAAACACACATTGTTTATTAAATTTTGCTGAAATATTATTATATTTTTGTTGATTATACAGTATATGCTAATTGTACTGTAATTACATTGAACGTTCTAATCTGTAGAGGGGTTAACGTGAAGATAGGATCTGATTTGTGAAGATTTTATCATATCGAGGATTTAACAAACAAGTTTAATGGAGAGCTTAAGCGATTGTTGTATGTATATTGTGTACTGTCAATATTTTCCGGGTCCTCAATATTCATTGAATATACACATATTGATCGTAAGAATATTGAAATATTGATAATACACAGGGAGAGTTACGTAACTTGTCTACACAGAATAAGTTTCGAAGTTCCACGCAAAAGTATCTTATAATTGAAATTGTACGATGTCGAAGGTATACATGACGCTGAAATTATTTTTCAAAATAATCTGTTTATAAAATGTTAAAATGTTACATTTCTTTAACGCGCTTTTTCAAACAGACCATCATTGAACATACATTATGCTTACACAAGATGTGCTTATTTTCTGAATAACCAAACACTAAACAATACAATCAAGTTATAATATAATACTATTTTTACTAATTGAATTAAGCTTCGGTTATGTAAACAATTTTTAGAAGGAACATTTTACCTTGCTTTTAAATTAGAATATCCCGTTAACTACGTATGCGCCAGCATCAAATCTCTAGCCAAAGGAAACGAAACAGCTGAACACACATGTCACGCACAGCATCCGTAACTAATTTCCCTTAACCTTTTTCTAAGATCCAAACTTGGATAGTGGATACAAGTGTTTAGATGTGCATAAACATCTGTCGTCAGTTCACTTTCTAGGCAAGCAACGTGAACGGCGATGGACAAGCAAGAAAGTGTCTACACCCGGCTATTTTGCACCAAAACGTATTCAGCGCAAGAAACTAATTAACACCTTGCGTTATGATCTCTTTCGCAATTATGTGCAGCATAGTTAAGTAACATGGATAACTAACACTTAACTTAACTGCGTATGAGCACTTTGTATCGAACATTTTTATCCTATAAATTATATGAACCTTTTCCTCTAAATGGTATCTACTTTTTCTTTCTGTATTATATTATCTTTCTTTTTCTTCCGGTGTTTAAAAATATTGTTAAATAGTATAGTTCCTTCAAGTAAAA